AAGATAAACACTATATATGTTAAAAAAAGGCTTAATCTAGTTGCGTCCCGATTTCTGACAAAGCTGCATTTAAATACACTTCATATGAGTTTGCCCTAGTTGACTAGGGTTTTGATTTTCCTAGCCAGAAAAGCATATTTGTTTTTTTTTAATCATAAATAAACATAAACTTCAATCGCGAAAGTTAAATAGGAATATTTTAGCTTTCTTATGTCAGATTGTAATTTACACCGAGGTTTCACTTCCAATGGAACTCAACAAGTAGATACACCTTTCTGTGTATGAAACGACTGATGATACTATCAATTTCTAGTACAAAATAGACTAAGGTCCCTAACTGTTCAGAAAAGAACAAACATAATCCAAGCTTTGATGGGGAGGGGAACTCGACCCATAAAGACAGCACCAACTTCTATATTAAGTAACGATTGGCAATCTAGCAGAACCAACCTTTGGGTTAAGATGTCCTATATTAGTACACCGTATGTAAGTATTTCAAAAAATGGAAAAATTGGAAAAGTGTATTTAAAAATATCAAAATCGGTACAAAAACCTCAGTGTTGACTCATGTTCTCTAATGTTTACTGAATGCCTGGCCGTAATGAAGAATAGACCTCAAAGGCATCGGGCGTTTCGCACGCCAGTACATTGAGATACGGATTGGGGTGATTAAAGCCCAGCTGCCTCATCCAGAAGTATATCTGCAATTGTAAATAATGGTTTTTTTTCAGTCTTCAGTGAAATTGCAAGTGACATCTTCGATAAAACCACCGATCCAAGACACGTGTCACCGAATTTTGGCACAAGTTAGAAATTACATGCAGAAAAAATATAGAGTCAAACTGTACCTTGAATCTTTTGAGCAATATTGTCCACTTTAATAGTGCGCGGTCTCCAACGGGAAGCTGAATAAATTCCTTGGGAGGCAGAGAAAAGAGCGTCTCAAGTGCTCGGTTTGTGAAAACGCACCTCATATACGTTCCCGTATGATCCGACAAATTTGCAAGACAATTGTATTCCAACTAGTTAATGATTTGAAAAAAAAACACTGGTCTCAACTTCTTCCGTATTTAAAGAGCAAAATAACATCGCATTAGAACTAGTAGTATTTTATACACAGGCGCTAAGTCTGACTCATAGCTCTAGTGATTTGAGCACGTTTAAAGCTTCGCTGATAGAAGGCAGAATTTACCATTCGGTACCTCAGAGTATGATGAAAATTACTAAAGCACAAAGTATTTCCCCTTCCCCTGACACTGACGTTGATAATATTAACATTATAATCACTAGAAAACTTGCGGATATTAGTAAGGTGGGATTATTGGCAGATAGCAGCTAGTATAATTTGGAACTCGTCAATCAAGGGTTTGCTACGACTTTCCAATAGAATAACACCAAAAATGGTTAGCTCCAAATGGCCAAAAAGTGATCAATTGTTCACCATGTAACCACATCTAATTAGAACATATTCGTATCAGTGTGATATTTTTTATAAGGGCTTGCGTATTAACGTGAAAACCAAACTACCTGCTCCAAAATATAACAGAATCATTTAATAGAAACCCTTTTAGTGAAGGATCTTTCAAGCAGTTTAAAACAATTTACTAGACTCCACAGATGATAGCTTTATTTTTAAGACAGATATTAAATAGCCATAGATAAAATCGAGTCCTAAAACCATTAAAGTTACACACGATTCAGCTCAACAACTTGGACTCTCTATCGTCCGTATTCATCTTCAGTTTTTTTCAAGCCAAATTATTTCCCTTCACAGTTCTTAAAATATCCCTAAAGTGGTCATTTTGAAAGGAAGTTATTCGACCTCCTCGGTAATCCTCGTGGAAAAGTTCTTTTGCTGCAGTTGCGATGACCAAAAAGGTCTGCTGCAGAGAGTCGAGGCACCTAAGGTGTGTTGGCGCGTCATGCGTACCAGCGCCGGCGGAGGAGTGCTGAAGCGCTTCTGGTAGTAGGTAATTATGCGACGTCAGCAACACTGGGTGCCCAATGCACTGGAATAAGTATCTGCACTCTGCACAACGCGCAACTTGGCTGTGACATTTAGCGTTGCTGTCCCAAGTTAGAACTTTATCCACTTGTGTGTGTGTGTGCGTTTACGTGAATCGCCTGTGTCCTTGGTTGGGTGCTTGTGTCCGCTTGCTTAAACAGAGCATGAGCCAACAGTTAAGCAAGTCCATACGATGGGTCAAAATCCTTAATCCCAAATAATACTTACACGCTTTAAATTCGGATGTTCGTTACTGCTAGAAAAGTAAGCCACCATATCATTTGAATGGGCAAGTGTTTATCCGACAAACGTAACTTACTTTTTTATTTAAAATTAAATAAACTTTGGCCCAATTGGGTTGTAATTGAACAAAACCAGTTATTTGGGATCTACTGTACATAATGTTGACTAATTGGTGGCGGAATGCTTCCCTTACAGTTGATGGATGTTTTAAAAACGAACTACTTACTGATTGCTCAGATTCCGATGGAGAGCTTTTATTTACCTTTTCATCAGCGTAGTTTGTTTTATAATTCATGTTTGACAGTCTACCAGACAATTAGGTATTATTATCTTGTACTTTGTCAGTCACTATTGTGCTAAATTTAAATAAGTCACCTCCTCTCCCAAAATAAGTAAATAATATTACACTAAAGATTAGTAGCACGCGCTAAAAAAGGCAATACATTTGCTTACCTACAAAACTAGTAGCCGTATCCAACAATATAATGAGAGACGATAATTGTCCTAGCGCATGCCTAACTTAAGATCTCCGATATTTTTGTTTGCAATTCGTCACTGATACATAAAGAAGCTGCCAAACTGAAAATCGTCAGTCGGTCCCTAACTTGCTTCGTAGGGGTAGGTCTGCAATTTCCTTGCTTTGACGTTCATGATTTGGCCTATATTTAATGGTACCTCAGAAGCCAAAATATAATATTTGAGATTTATCTTCGAGCTGTACAGAACGGTACTTTCCGGACTCATTTGTTGTCGTAGTCACCGTAAACATTACCAATATCAAAATCCACGGAAACATGCCTGGTAAATAATTTTACTCCCTCAATGAGCAACATGGGCAAGAGGAAGACGCTGACACTCGAACAGCTTCTTACTGAGTCCAGCGTTTAAAGGGTAGTTGCGGTCTTTTATTATGAGGGACTGATATTTCCATTAAAGTAGCGTTATTTCACGAAAAACCTTCTGCATAACTTATCCTGTATGCAAGCAGTGGGTGCTTGTGTCCGCTTGCATGAACAATTGTCCAATTGTCAAGGCAATGCAGATTATTCTGTCGATAAAAAGTCCTGTGATACAGCGAGGCAGCAACTTTGTCATGTCAAGTTGTCATTTTCATGTAAGGCATGGGCTTCATTGGCGCATGGTAAATAACATGACACATTTTCGCTCGTTTAAGGAAATATGCAAATTAGTGTTTCTTGGGCGCACTTTAACCAAACATTTTCTCATTATATTTTGCAACTGCAATGCGATGAATCTTCCCATGGCGGCATCCCGTTTGTACTCTGGAAAGCCGGTACACTATCCCCTTCAAAAAGTACTTTTCTGCAACAGCAATTAAGAAGCGCAGATTAGTTTGAGAATTTATAGATAATAACTTAAATAGTGGCATAGACGCGTACACCGATCTGTCAGAGGACCCACTCGTCCCCCC